GGGGGAGCTGTGTCTGAGGGAGCTGGGTCTCGGGGCACATCCTTACAGGAGCTAGGTCTGGGGTGCTGGTTCTGGGGGAGCTGGGTCTGGGGGAACTGGACTCAGGGCGGGTCCCTGCAGGCGCTGACTCATCAGGAGCACCCTGGAGGGTGTGCTCACCTCCCTTTACCCTCACCTCCCAGTGGGTCTGGGGAGTTTCTACCCAGAAGCAGATGCTGTCCTGTGAGCAGCCAGAGCCTCTAGAAAATCGAGGTGTGGGGAGGGTGCTGGGCTGTGTAGAGCTGGTCAGGTCCTGTGCCAGTTTGGCTTCCAGCCCAGGGCTGTGTGTCCTTGTGGTCTGTGCCCCGTGTCCAACCACATGGCACATGTCTGAAGCCAGCATGAGTCTGACCCTGAGCAGTCGACACCTGGGCAGGTGGAGCTGCAGTGGAGGCCGAGGTGGTCAGCGGGTCCAGGGAGCCATCACTGGACTGAGCTGCAGGCTGGGAAGTGGTACTGGGACCAAGTCCTGTTCATGTTGAGAAGTGGCTTCTATAGTGCAGTCTTGAGGTGGAATGTCCATGGCTGTTGCTGGGGGCCAGTACACAGCCTAGCTGGGCATAGGGATGGTCCAGGGACTATGGGGTACAGATTGGGGGTTGAATTGAGCAGGGCCCAGTGAGGAGGGGGGCAGCTGCTGTGGTGCTAGCAGGTGTCGAAGCCTCTCAGCAGAGGGCCGAGGCTTTGCCGCCCTGGGCAGCCTGGGGACCTGGACAGGGCTGGGAGGCACCCACTTGGGGCAGGGTGGTTGGTGGCCTCTTGTGTGTGTCTTGGATGTTAAGAGGGGAAGTATTTGTATAGACATATACTTGAAGAATGACCAACCACGAGGAGAGGAGGAAAGTGGGAGACCAGGTGGAAGTGGGTGGGCCTTGGGTGACAAGCCGTGGTGAGCCAGGTGAGCGGTCAGCTCCTGTGCGGGTTCATACTTGTCTTGGTGAGGCCCAGATGGCTGAGAGGTGAAGGGAGCAGAAGAGCAGAGAGTGTGCCCTGGGTGGGGGATGCTGTTGGACGGACACATGGGACCCTCCCTGCTGGTCTGTCTGCTGGGTACAAGACTAGGGCTCCCGATGCAGCTCTTGCCGAGTCCCCTGGGTAGCTAGGCTCGTCAGGTGCCAGGCACCCACCAGCCTTGTGCCTCTGGTGTGGGTGGAGCCATGCTGCTGTCTCCCTGGAACCAGCCCGTGGCCTGCGGGGAGTGCTTTCAGCCTGTGTCTTTTCTGTTGCAGACTTTAAAAAATTCCAAGAGCCTTTGCTCCCTGGACTGCGAGGACGACAACGAGGACGAGGCCCAGGCGAAGACAGTCGTGTCCTCCCCGTGTGGCTCGCAGGCCCCAGTGGGCACCAGCACGCCAGGCTCCAGCCCCAGGGTTCCCGGGCCCTGCCCCACCAGCTCCTGGGCCTCCAGGGAGCCAGTGGCCAGCACAGGCGAGGGAGGGAGCAGTGGGGACCCCAGTGACTGGGACAGTGCTGGGGAGGAGGGCATTTTCCCCTTGGACCGTGGCGACCTGGACCTGGAACAGATTGAGAACAACTGAATCTGGGCAGGCGGGGCCCGTGCGCCAGGTGATGGCCGAAATAGGTTTGTGCTATTTTGAACATGAGGTGTGATTTTGATTCAATTTTTCCTAAAGAAGTATTTTGCATTTTTATGGCTTTTACAATTCGGGGAGAGCTCTCTATTTTGAAATGAGTTTTCAGAAGGGCATTCTGTTAAATGCGAGTCTGCCTGTGGATCCCAGTGTGGGCAACCGTCCTTTCGTAAGGAGCCCAGCGTGGGAAGCGTGGCATGTGGTTTGCTTGCTGGAGACCCCGGGGCTGGTGGTCTGTGTCCTTCTGGGGCAGAGCTCCTGGGGCATGGGCCTGTGCGCAGGCGCCCTGTGCCCGGGCTTGTCACTGGGTGCTGGCTGGCCTCTAGCCTGGACCGCCAGGTAGCTGCACTGCCGGGGCTTCCTGTGGCCCAGAGGTCTCTGCGCTCAGGCTCTCCAGGGGCCACGGGAAGGCGGTCCTGGTGGCACATTTGCACCCAGCTGTGAATTCAATAAAAGGCGTTTGCTCTGTAAGTGCCCATGACCTCTTCCTCTTCTGGGTGGTGGTGCGGGCCTGGTGGCCGCAGGCACCAGACCCACTGTCTGTCCTGTAATGTGTGAAGCCAGCCTTGATCTGAGGTTTGCCCCTGAGAGGGTGTCTGCAGCAGTGGAGGAGGCCCCCTGGGGACATTTTCCTGATTCCTGCCCCCCAGGGAGATTTGGTAGAGGTGACTGACACTGACACTCGTCTGAGCCACCTCCCACAGGTTCAGAGCGTAGAGCTGAGCAGGTGCAGGTGTAGCTGCTTTGTGGGTGCCTGGCCCCTGCAGGGGGGCCGACAGCAGGCTGTGGTCACCTGCCACCCTGGTGGGCCACAGCTCTCACTGCCCAGTACCCAGTCTCCCGTCCATTAGCATTGATGAACATTACTCTTGGAGCCGAGGCTGCTGCCCAGGCTTGGCGTCCACAGCGGCCACTGCTGAGCACTGTTAGTGAGGAGGCCCAGGTCAGGGAGCCTGCTGGGCCAATGGAGGGCCCCTGTGCTTGGCTCTGGACTGTGCCCCCTGGCTCTTGTCCTCCCCACTGGGCTTGGCGTTTGGACCCCACAGCCTTGGGCATAGAGCCGCGTCTCACTTGCGCATTGAACTGAGCAGATGGGGGGTCACTGTCTGGGGGAGTTGTCATGAGGGCTGCTGATAGTGGGTACTGCTGGGTCCCCAGGTCAGGGCAGGGGTCTGGGACCCTCCCCTGAAAACCACTGCTCTGCCGGGTGAGCCCTGTCCCATCCTGGGGACCAGGGCCGTGTGGAGGCCTCCCTGCCGCCTGGACTATCACCTCCAGGGTGTAACTCGGGCTGCTCAGTGCCTCTGCCAGATGGTACCCACACCTGGGAGATCCCTCAGCCTCTACCCAGGGAGAACCCCTCCCTGAGGGTTTGGAACATTCCTGGCTCCCTTGGCCAACAGGCCCTCCTGAGCAGAGGGATGGGTGGGCATGTTCTGGGCCCCCACCTCGCATGGCCCGAGGGACCACACCCCCAGCTCACTTGGCTGTACCATTCCTGTGTGAGTTTGGTCTCCACCCATGGAACCCCCAAGTCCCTCCACCCTTCAGGTCCCCAGAAGAGTCCAGGCCCCACTGTGGCCACTGGGTCGCGCCCACAGCCCCCTTCCTCTGTGCCTCCCAGTCGGCCTTCGCTGCCTGTTCTGGGCCTCTGCCCTGTTTGGCTGCCCCAGCCTGCGGCCAGGCACGCTGGGTGTGGGTCCCTCCTCTGTCAGCCAAGTGTAGGGTGCTCTGTGGCTCCCTGCTGCTTCCTCCCCAGCCGCAAAAACCCCTGGCCATCCTACCCGAACCTATCCCGTCCCACCTCTGGGGTCCATGGTCTCCATTGGAGGGGAGACCCGGATGAAACATCGGCTGCCAGTGTCCTTGGGGGTCTGGTGCCTCCAGGCCCATTTCCCACCCAGGACCCAACCCTCCAACTTTGATTTGCCACCTCCCTCCAACAACCTGCTTCGGCCTCCGGCTCCCGTCCTGCAGGTTGAGCCTCTCAGCCTCCCAGAGTGCACCTCAGTGCTCCAAGCTTGTGCGTGACACCCTCCAGCCAACCGTCGTCCATCTCCAGGGCCTTCTTCCAAGCAGAAGCTCTCGGCCCCAACCACCCTCAGTCCCATTCTGCTCCTGAACTGGTGGCTGCAGGCCCCTTGGGGAGTTGAGTCTTGGTGTCTCTTGGTGTGACGGGGCCACTCACTCACATGACATCCTCGAGGGCCAACCCTGCTGTGTGTTAGGACTGCCCTTAAAGGAAGGGACGATTCCAGTGTGTGGGGGCCACCTTTACTAATTATGCTCGAGTCCTGAAGACGGGGGTGGGTCCTGTCACTCCGGGGGCTTCCCACTGATCACAGGGTAGAGACGTGCTTGGCCATTGCCCCCCAAGCCAGACAATGGCCCCTGGCCCTGGTAGCTCCTGGACCACACTGGACAGTGGTCGCCACCCCCAGGTGGGCACTTGCTCCCCTGCCCCACTCTTTTTTTTTTTTTTTAAATGAGAGTACAGTTTACTAAATCCTGAAAGTACACTGTAGGGTATGAACAGGTGCCCAACCAGAAAGTCCACCAACCAGCATTTACTGACCACTTAATTCTGCAGGGCAGTTAGATGTCACAGAAGAATCCCTGTCCTGCTCTTGCTCAGCCCAGGCGTCACCTCCAAAACCCCTCCTGCCACCCAGACATTCCCTGGGTGTGTGGTCCCTCGTGGCAGACAGGTGCAGGCTGGCTGGGACAGGCAGAAGGGACACCCTTGGGCCAGCCTGGGGACATGCTGCTGTAACTTCCTTTCCAGCACTCTGCCCAGCCTGGCCTTCTCACAGCTTCTGGGGGCCAGCAGCCAGTCCCACCTTTGGGTGCCACCTCCCATCTCTTGCTTCCTGACCCTGTGGCTCCCTGGGCCTCCAACGCTGACTGGCGGTCATGGGACTGGGGGAGAGCTTGGAGGGCTGAGCTAGGCCCCATGCCCACGCTGCCCTGGGAGGGTGGGGGTGGCACCTGCTGGGGCAGGCCCTGGGTGATGTGCTGGGCCCCTGGAGCAAGGCCAGTTTTCTGAGCAGGTCCTGCCAAGGTCTGAGCCCAGAGGCAGCTCGTGGGGTTCTGCAGGGCACTGCCCGGCAGTGTGAGTGTGCACTGAGGGTGGGTGGTGGGCAGATGCCTGAAGTCCCCAGGGCGTCTGAGTGTGTGCACGCATGTGTTTCCTGGGGTGGGACGCCGGGCCCTCTCCCCTGCGACCACCTGGCTCTTCCCTGCAGAGTTGCTGCCTGGACAGCTGAGCAGCAAGCCCCTCAGGGTGTGATGGCCACTGTCCTCATGTCTCTCTCTGTCCAAGGTGTGGCCAGTGTGACCTGCATGGGGTCTGTATGGCAGTTTGGGGTATGTCTGTGGCAATATGGAGACGCCTGTCGCTGAAGTCTGGGGCACAGCTAGGCACGGCTGCTTTCACTTACTGTACGGGGTGAACCTCGGTTTGATAACAGCCTTCCCTCTGCACTGGGGAGGGCGGAGGCCTAGAGCTCTGGGCCAGTGGCTGGGCCTGGCCAGCCCAGCCCTGGTCCCTGGGGTCTGCTCAGTGGCCAGACCTTCTGGGGTCCCTCAGGTTGGGGCAGGTCCTGTTGAGGCATGCATGGCTGCAGATGAAGACCTGGGCCCCATGCCATCCCCTGTGGCCTCCCAGCCCCTGGCCTGGCCCTGCAGGAGCAGGTACCCTCTCTAGACAGGCCAGAAGTCCAAGTACCCAGCGTCCATGTGCTCATTGGTCCCCAGGCTGTCTACTGATGGCTCATTGGTCCCCAGGCTGTCTACTGATGGCTCTGGGCACTGGACGCTACCCTTGAGGAGGGGGGGATGTGGGGAGGTACATTGTATTCAGGGACAGCTGGTCAAAGGCCCCAGGGCAGGAGCAAGCTGGGGTAAACAAAGATGAAGCACTGAGTTCAAAGATAAATGTACGGAGTGACAACAGACATCCCCAGGGAGCAGGCAACCCACAAAGTCACTCCCAGAAGTTGTGTGCTACAACCAAACTGATGGAGTTGCAAGGAGAAATTCATAAGCCCACCATCTGAGCAAGAATTTTTTTTTTTGTATTTTAAGTAGAGAAATTAAAAAAAATATTTTATTAGTTATTTATGGACGTTTATATATTTACTTGTTTTTATGTGGTTCTGAGAATCCAACCCAGTGTCTCACACATGCTAGGCATGTGCTATACCACTGAGCCACAGCCCCAGCCCTAAATAAAGAAAATTTAATGTGCAAATCAATTAATAGTTCTAATCCATGCTGTTCAAATATAAATTTAAATTTTTAGTTAAATATTTTCTGCTAATTGTTTCTGAGATATTCATCGTCTTCTCATTCTCCCAGCCCGACTTTAACAGTTTTCTTAAGTACAGAAATAGAATTTTTTGTGTGAAGCTTGTTTGTAGATGGCTGAGTCCTGTCAGTGCCATGTGAGTGTGATGATGACCTGGTGGCTTGCAGAGCTACGTGGGCCAGCGGTTCCCAGGTGGCTTGCAGTGCTTGTGGGCTGGCAGATGCGCTCACCAGGAGGCACAGTTAGAAAGCCGGCTCTCTAAGCCTCTAGACTGAAGCCCACTCCCCTGCTGGAGCCTGGGCACAGGTGTCAGGAAGTTGTGCATTGATTGACTTTAGGGCCATCACACCTGAGCCCAGGTTCTCACTGGGCTCCATCCTGTCGTGGAAGAGATTTTCTAGTGTCATCTCTAGTTGCCATTGGTCTAGCAATTCTCTCTCTCTCTCTCTCTCTCTCTCTCTCTCTCTTTAGTTGTAGATGTACACAATGCCTTTGTTTTATTTTTATTTATTTTTATGTGGTGTTGAGGATGGAACCCAGTGCCTCACCCATGCCAGGCAAACACTGTACCACTCCAGCCCTTAGCAATTCTGACTTAAAAAAAAGAAAAAAAAAAAAAAAAGGAACACTTCATGAATTTGAGTGTCTTCCTTACACAAGGGGCCAAGGGGCCGTGCTGATCTTCTCTGTATCGTTCTGGTTTTAGTATATGTGCTGCCAAAGTGAGCACTGAGCAAGATTTTGATAGTCCTATCTCAGTAGCTAACTGAACAAGTGGGCCCAGAGCAGCAAGGACACAGATCTGGCTGCCCTGTGTGAGCTTCAGCTGTTGGGC